AGGTTTGTAGGCCAGAGAGGGGGTTTAATTCAATTAAATTAAACAGAACTTTATTTACCATGAAGGAAGTTCTTGTGCCAGAGAATGCTGCAAATTACAATAACACCAAGTACAGTAACCACAATTTTAACGATTCACAACCAGTACCAAGTTTCAAGCATCTTGGACATCACTGAAGATGTGTCCAAGCTGCACCACGTGGTGTTTGAGAAGCTTGACATTCCCCTTCCTCATTTCTGTACCTCACTGAGCCAGTTTGTCACACTCACAAAATTAACTCACCTCAAAATTACAGGATAAAAAATAATTTTGAAATGTTTTATTGTTCAAGTTAAGGACAGTCAGATTTATTTTGGTTACAGACTATAACACTGACATTAAAGTTGCTGCAGTGAAGACATTGTGTGTGTGCATATGCTTGTGTGTGTGTGTGTGTGTGTGTGCGCGCGTGTGTGTGTGTTAGTGCTGTGTGAGGCCTGCAGGGACAGTCATGGTGGCAACACTTGGTGGTCTCAGCTCACCAAGTTCCCTCCAGTGAAGGTGGTTTTGTGTCTACTGACGCTCCTCGTGCTGCCCATTGAGCTGAGCTTATTACTCATTAAAAGGTAAAGTGGTTTGATGATGCAACCAGAAGATAATGCAGCAAGAGAATCACACTTATTTCATATCCTGCTTCTCTTATTATTACTAGCATCACTTTGATCACGTATTTACACTTAATGCTTTATATGTCTTTTATTGTGACAGCATAATATTATCACTGTTGAAGCTGACTGCAGATCTCTGCAGGCAGACATGGAAAAGCAGAGGCAAGGACCTCAACAGGTGTGTGCACTTGGAAATACACTGCCTGGCCAAAAAAAAAGTCACCACCAAAAAAAAAGGTCATACACTCTAATATTTCGTTGGACCGCCTTTAGCTTTGATTACGGCACGCATTCGCTGTGGCATTGTTTCGATAAGCTTCTGCAATGTCACAAGATTTATTTCCATCCAGTGTTGCATTAATTTTTCACCAAGATCTTGCATTGATGATGGTAGAGTCTGACCGCTGCGCAAAGCCTTCTCAAGCACATCCCAAAGATTCTCAATGGGGTTAAGGTCTGGACTCTGTGGTGGCCAATCCATGTGTGAAAATGATGTCTCATGCTCCCTGAACCAGTCTTTCACAATTTGAGCCCGATGAATCCTGGCATTGTCATCTTGGAATATGCCCGTGCCATCAGGGAAGAAAAAATCCATTGATGGAATAACCTGGTCATTCAGTATATTCAGGTAGTCAGCTGACCTCATTCTTTGAGCACATACTGTTGCTGAACCTAGACCTGACCAACTGCAGCAACTCCAGATCATAACACTGCCCCCACAGGCTTGTACAGTAGGCACTAGGCATGATGGGTGCATCACTTCATCTGCCTCTCTTCTTACCCTGATGCGCCCATCACTCTGGAACAGGGTAAATCTGGACTCATCAGACCACATGACCTTCTTCCATTGCTCCAGAGTCCAATCTTTATGCTCCCTAGCAAATTGAAGCCTTTTTTTCCGGTTAGCCTCACTGATTAGTGGTTTTCTTAAGGCTACACAGCTGTTCAGTCCCAATCCCTTGAGTTCCCTTCGCATTGTGCGTGTGGAAATGCTCTTACTTTCACTATTAAACATAGCCCTGAGTTCTACTGTTGTTTTTCTTCGATTTGATCTCACCAAACGTTTAAGTGATCGCCGATCACGATCATTGAGGATTTTTTTCCAGCCACATTTCTTCCTCGAAGACGATGGGTCCCCACTATCCTTCCAGTTTTTAATAATGCGTTGGACAGTTCTTAACAGTTCTCCTTAGATGTTTTCTCTGCTTGATGCATGCCAATGATTTGACCCTTCTCAAACAGGCTAACATCTTTTCCACGACCACGGGATGTGTCTTTCGACATGGTTGTTTAGGAAATGAGAAGCAACTCATTGCACCAGTTGGGGTTAAATAACTTGTTGCCAGCTGAAAGATAATCGCCCATGCAGTAATTATCCAATAGGAGGCTCGTACCTATTTGCTTAGTTAAATCCAGGTGGCGACTTTTTTTTTGGCCAGGCAGTGTATATAATTTGAAGGTTGTTTTTTTAACCTTGTGTTTATCTATTTTAATCTCAGTTATTGGGTTAAGGTTACACATGGTCTTTGACAATCCATCTTTATATTCTCCAGTACATTCTCCAGGTCGTCTCACTCAGATCTTAGCAGCCAGACAGGGGAAAACATCAACATTAAACCTCTGGCCTCGACAATCACCAGAAATTCTAAGAGAACTCTTCACTGGGACAACAACGGTAACCTGGCCCTCCTCTCCCTCACATCCACCTGCACAGGTCCATCCAGCTTCCCCTCCCCCAACACACCTGAATACAGCAAGGTGACTTTAAACCACAGGAGTAAACGGACTCTTCATCAAACATCAACCGGGCAGAAAAAAGCCTGTTTAGAACTGCAAATGTGAAATAGAATACCTAGAAATAGAATAGCTTAATTGATATGTATTTATAATCTCTGTGTAGGAGAAGAAATGCATGTTTAGATTTGTGTTTCAGATCTTCTGCTACATTATGAACTATCCAGATCTCTCAGGTCATCTGGTTCAGGTCTGCTTTGTGTGTCTAGAGTCAAAACTAATAATGGAGAAGAAAAGTTCAGATTTTATGCACCACATGTCTTAAACAATCTCCCCAAAACCTGCCGGTCTGGTTCAACCCTCACTTCTTTTAAATAAAGGCTGAAGATTTTTGTTTGCCGCTGCCTTTTATTAAGTTTATTCATTGTTTACACCGTAATGTAACTTTTACTCTGGTGCTTTATACCTTTTATTCTATTCAAGCTCTTTTTATTTTCTATTCTCTGTGCTCTCTTAATGACTGTTTGAAATGTCCTTTTATAAGGTGTTTCTTTTCCACTGTTTTGATGTTTTTAATGTTTCATGTAGAGCACTTTGAATTGCCTTGTTGCTGATATGTGCTACATAAATAAACTTGGTTTGTCTGACTCATGTATCGGTTCAACAAGGCTCAAAAACCGCCTTAGCTGGTGATCAAAAGCTTAACCCAATTAACAATTATTTACCCTATTTACCCAGTCAAAGTTAACAAGCAAATGAGCATGTTGTTGAATGACCAGCTACTTTAAAGTAAGGCATAAAATCATCCCAGACTTAACTTGGTCAAGAGTTGACAAGGAAAGTGATGCAATGTTTGTATCCAGGGTTATTTGCTATTTGGTTTTTTTTGAGGTTCTGTAAACAAAAAGCAAATGTTATATGCTGAACCATTTTCATTAGATGATGTGAGTTTTGTAGGATATCATACAATCTCCTACATGAATTTTTTATATTTATATGACTATTTTTTTGGCTTATATTTCCAAGTATGTGACTTGGAGTGTATGGTACTTATTTTTTGTATGTTGTAAAGCAGGGCAGTAACAAGCCCCTATGTTCTGCTGCTGGAGGTCTTGAGGCATTGAAATCTTCATTTGCAGGCCTGTTTCTGCAGCTGATTTTCACCTCTGACCTCACTGAGAAGGAAAAGAAGCAGAAAAGTTTGTTTCATCCCCTTTGAAACTTTAGTTGGTAACTTTTATAACAACATTTTTGTTACACGAAAACTGTCACTGTCCAAAGAAATTCATGCTACATCACCTGCCTCCTCTTACTGTGAGTTAGCCTTACTGGCCTTACCGCACATGATGAAAACAACCAATCAAAATCAATCATGTCAACGGCTGCTTGTTAACTGTGGTCAAACTGTCAGAAGAGGCAGCACTAATCAAATATGAATCAAGATTCTGTTACTGTATTGCCTATTTCTCACCTAAAATGTTTTCAGAGGCATATTTTAAATGCACTCTTCAGCTGTAAAAAGAAGTTTGTGACCCGACCACCATTTTGAAAACAGTGGAGCTGGAAGCCGGAGCAAACGTTCTCATTTTTTACAGCTAAACAGTGCATTAGAAACAGTCTATGGTTAGAATGTGTTTCTGAAAACATTTCAGGTGTGAAACAGGCGATGCAGTAACAGTGTCTTGATTTATATTTGATCAACACTGCCTAGTTTCACAATCAGTGATTGGCAGCTGTGTTAGAAACGCCTCAGCTCTGATTAGTTGCTTTCCATGAGAAGCGGCACATTCTGGCAAAGGCCATGAGATGCACAAGTGGAAGCAGGAGAAAGTGATTTCTTTCACAGATCATCTGTCTCATGTACAACTGTGTGGTGACAGTTTCAGCAAATATGATGTTTTTTTTGTTTACAAAAGTTACCAACTGTAGCTTTAAGAGTGTTTAAAAGCACTTCGGACCCATGACAGTGGAGCAAATCATAACAGACTTTAATTAATGATCAATTAAAGGGAAAAATATATGTAAAAGTCAGGTAGTGTGGTCATAAGATAAGATGGTGATGTTTTGTCTAACATTGTCATTCATTCATTTTCCATAACTGCTTATCCTGTTGGGGGTCACCGGGGGGCTGGAGCCTATCCTAGCTTGACATTAGGTGAGAGGTGGGGTATATCTTGGACACGTCGCCAGGTCGGCCAATTTAGAGTCACCAATTACCCTGCATGTCTCTGGACTGTGGGAGGAAGCTGGAGTACCCAGAGAAAACCTACACTGACATGAGGAGAACATACAAACTCCTCACAGAAGGGCTCACCCACCCGAGGCGACAACGCTAACCTCCGCACCACCATGCTGCCCCAAATATTGTCAGATATGCACATTTGCCTCAGCTGAAGCATTTTTGGGGGCTCTGTGGTCAGAGGTCCAAACCATATTACTGTGAAATCCTGTTTCAGGATCTAGAGCACGTTTGTTGCATGTCAGCGCTTCTCTTTTGTGTTGGGCTCCACTTTCTACTGTTGTTTTCTTTTCTAATATATTCTATCTACTCTTCTCTATACTCTAAATTAACTCACAAGGTTGTATGACACTTAAAATGACTGAAAGGGAATCCAATAATATAGAAAAAGCATCATCAGGACATTTTAATGGACAAGTGTTTCATAAAATTCCTTGTGAATGACATTTTCATAAACATACAAAACATAACTCTAAATTTCCTAAAGCAAAAAAATGATGATAAAAGATTAAAATAGAACCTGTTTTGAGTTTTGTAACATTATATTGAAAGGCTTGCCCGTTATTCCCTGTGAGGGATCTCTAACAGACGTGATGAGCCTGGTGTCACCGAGTGATCACTTTGCATCGTGGTCAGTTCATAGCACCATGAGTGTAAAACATTAATGCTAGCTAAATCCTCAATTCACAGAGGATCATGTAGTCAAGCTTATAAAATAACCTCCTGGAGTTTTATCTACTGTGAAAACAGTAGAAGTTGAATGTTCACACATACTGCATCACAGTGCAGTAAGGTACAGTACAGTATGAAGGCAAAAACAAATGTTTAAATACGCGACCTTCTCCAAGGACAGTCGAGCATCATTGTCAGGTCCCTGATTTCACATCATTAAAAAGACTGCCGTGAAGATGATCATACATGTACACAAGACCACAAACAAAATTAAAAAGTGCAGAAAGAATATTCTGCAAAACATCTAAAAAAGTCCATCTATGTGTGTATATTTCACTCGGACACTATTAAAACCATCTAAAAGTCATCATGAGTCCTTATACACTGCCGTCCTTCGGTCCACCGCTGATGTCTGGGATCTGATCTGCAAAAGACTGGGTCATCCACTGTCCGTCTGGGAGCTGGCCCTCTGGTATTTGTGACGTGGCCGCCTCCTGTGCTCCTTCTGAAGACAAGATGACACAGACTCAAACCCTGTGCTGAGGATAACAGGACACAACTGATATCTATAAAGTGGTGTAGGAATGAGTCCTTAAACCTGGAAATGAGTTAGTATTTCTGCACTTCGGCGCCCTCGTCTTGAAGTCAATGGGTTTTTTGAATATGTTTTTCGTTAGATACCTGAAATAAGGTCAACACAAGCTGAAGACTGTTTCATATTTTTTCTACAACACAAAATATACTGGCGAATTTTATGTCTTAAAAAAGGCAGTCGCTAACAAGTAGCTAAATAAGACAACAAAGCGTCATCACACTGAACACTGCTCTACAGCCTTGTTGTGGTGGCAACGTTGAAGTTATGCGACCATGGTGTAGTTCATTTATAGCATAATGTTAGCTTTTTACTATGACAATTCTAGTTACACTTCACAAATCGAAAAAGTGCTGAACAAAACATTTGAGTGTCAAACTTTTTTTTGCCACAGAGCTTATTTTCTACAATAATCCAAAATTACATTTGCTTTTTGTTGAGCAAACCGGGGCAATGCTAACTTTCAGGTAAGCTGACAAAAGATGCTATCCCTGCAGCACTCCATTATGTTTAATCTGGTAAATCTGTAAACATAATAGGCACAATATTATTTTTAAGACACCGAATCCCTTGTGGAGGATAAATCGTTGCCGACATAAAAAGTATTGTATTGCTCACAAATTTACCTTTGCAAATGCCCATTGTAACAAATCAATCATAAGCTATGAGTATATTCACATGGTCACAAGAAATCAGGTTACTCAGAGAAATTATGTTACACAGGATACTGACAACCTCGTTACTGTAAATCCACATACGTATGTATACATGCAGCAGCTCAGGCTTGTCACACACTTGCAAAAAGCTGATTAAAAGTTGGTTACATGGCTAGGAAATCTGGAGAAATCTAGCTGGGGAAATCAGGTTTCTCTGAACTCCTCCCCAGATTACAGAATCTCAGTTATGCCCTCGTATATGAAGTCAGCTCACAGCGGAAAGTTGGCTGTAATACGGTTACTGAAGTTCATGTAAACACTCTGAATGCTCCAAACAAACCTGAGTAAGCCTTAAAACACAGTTAAAAAATGTATCTGGACAAACAACATTAAGCTTCACCCTGATCATTACAAAGGGTGTTCAATTTCAACACTCTAAAGCCCAGTTCTGATCAAAGATTCACTATGAGATGAAACCATTTTAGAACGTTGCAGAGAAAAGTTGCAGCGGTGTGAACTGGCCAGTCTGAGCTCTGTCACCTGCAACTCAGCTGGTCAAATCACTGGCAGCTGGTTTGAGGAAGTAAATCACATCACCTGTTTCAACAGTTAATCAGCTTGTAGTGAAGCCTGCTGGTCAAGTCAAAATGACCACAGACGGCAGGTCAGGTGCTCTGTTTCTGTCCTCACCGTGTGCTGGTGTCAGATAGAGATGATACACCATCTCATTTAGTTGCATTGGTGTGAACCAGCAGGTTTTTAGAACGTTGCAGAACGGTGCATTGCAAGTAGTTGCATGATTCAACTCGCCACGTCGTGGATCTTTGGTCTGAACTGGGCATTAGAATAGCTGTAATAAAATGTGAGGAGTGAAATACACTTGACTCTGTGTGTGTGTGTGTGTGTGTTACCTGTGTTTTCTGTAGTTGAGAATGTGCAGTGACCGTTGGTCTGGCTTTGGCCTTGACCCTCTCCATACTCTGCATACGCTCCACCGTAGGCGTCTTCATAACCAGGATCGTACTGCTCCTCCTTAATCGCCATCCTCTTGGCATCCTCTGTTGATGTATAAAAAGGGAGAGAAAATGCCAAACATGATCTAAATTAGATCCAGATATCAAACTAAAGGCAGGATTCTACTATCAGCATGTACTTAAACTCACAAAGTAACAAGCCAATGATGACACTACTTTGCATATTATCACTTAAAAAAACTCGTTAAGCCTTCATACAGTATTTTTTATTAACACTAGAAGAGGGGAAACTACCTATTTTTAAATGATAATCATAGCTTTTTTTCTTTATGTCACAATGCTGCTTCCAGTTTCACTATAAGAAAACAGATTTTTCACTGCCATGCCACTAACAGGTTGGATAACAAACCACACATACATTGATCCACACAGACGGTGCTTACCCTTGGCCAATTTCAAGTCAAACGAGTACTGAATCTCCTCAATCTCTCTGGTCTTTTGGACGCCCTTCAGCTGATCTCTGAGCTCCCTCAGTTTGATGTAGAAATGGACTTTGTCCTGAGCACGAGGGAACTGAGCACATCGAGCGCTGGATGAAGGCATTAGATACAGAGCCTGTGGAGGGGAAATGACTGTCAGATTAATCCTTCAAAAAAAGTAATACTGTACGGTTTAAAAATGGCTGTGGTGTGGTTAAAGGAGGAGAGAGTGAATCCATTTTAAGAGGCTAATTTGAAAAATGAGGCTAAAGTTCATCAATATTTGATGGTAATGAAGCAGTCGGGTGCTCACCACTTCACAGTCGGGGATCTTGTGTGGCTGCAAACCAAAATCAAGTTTCTTTGGTTTTTTACCAAACATCTCTCTGCAGAACATTTCATAGATGCCTTGAGGGGAAAAAACAGAAAATTAATACTTTAATTCACTTTATCAGATAATTTTATTGCAACTGTAGCTCTATGGTAGGAGAGTGCTTACATTTTCCATTAAAAACAGCAATTAGAGGCTTGAATTTCTTCAGCTTCTCTACAAGAATTTTGCCTCCTTCACGTAACTCTTTACTGTTGAGATGAAAACAAAAGAAAAATGGTTAAAATACAGTGTTATTTCATGGTGACTGAGCAACTTAAAATCTATGAGCAATGCCACTGGTATCTTACACATTTTTTCCATCATTTTTAGGCCTACCTTGTGAGGTCTTTGCTTCCTGGTGTCGCCCTGGCCACCATGTTGGTGAAGCCCATTTTGTACTTGACAGGCAGGGTGGTGTCATGCATGTGGTTGAGCTGCTCTTCAGTGAATCCAGACAGGAAAAGGCACTTCCCTGAAAATTTAAAAAATACCCAGTCAAAGGAACATATCTGGAACCTGATCGGTGGTGTTGAGAAAGTGGTGCTTGAGTTCATCTAATGGAATGCAGGGGTACGTCTTAAAGAAAAGGTTGGAACCGCTGTTCTAGACATCTGACACTCAAACTGGGTCTTGCAAAAAAAAGATCCAGGATTACACACTTGCCCTTCCCTCCCACTCTTTTCTATAAAATTTCTATAAAACTTCTCTGACAATTTTGGCAGGACAGGAGTCATTTTTACTATTACACATCTCAAAATCTTTTTTATGAGACAACTTACAGAAATGATTTCCAGGACCGGGAAACCACCGACCAATAAAAGCTGCCATCAGTCCTGGATTGATGCCAATCTGGAAAAGAAACAGTGCATGGTTTTGAAGCGTACAAACCCAAGTTCATTCCTGACAACACTGTGTTTAGCTTTTAAACAGTTGAACGGGGGATCTTACAATGACATAATCCAGGTTGTAATCCAGCAGGTCTGGTAGAGTCTTTTTCATGACTTCCTCCTCTGACATTCCCTTGAAGCGGTCAATTTTCCTCTTCACCTTCTTGAAGCTCTCGTCAATCTTCTCTTGCTTGCCATCCGCCTGACCCTCAGCAGCCTTCTTGGGCTTGGGACCAGGTTTGCCTTTAGGTGCATTTGGGTCCTTTGGTGGCTTTGGTACCTTGGGGACTTTTGGTGGTTTGGGTGCTTTGGGCTCCTTGGGTTGAGCTTGTCGGCCTCTCTTTTTTGGCGGGGCTACAAGAAAATTTCAGAGAGGTGACATCAAAACAAAGAAGCACCTGCATTTTGTTAAAACTGTGGGCAGATACAATTTGCATCTTACTGCACTTAAATATAACTCCATTTAATTAATTTTTGGAGTTTCTTAAAGCACATCAAACATCGATGCAAACCACAAGAGTACAATTTATTTTAGTAAGCCAAATATATGTGACAAGGCTCTCAATAACTTACACAAAGCTCGTCTTTTTCTAGCAAGCATGCGAATGCTGTGCAGTATTACAAAACTTTCATCAGATATTTAGGTGTAATTTTTCAATACTTTATGGCATAAAAATAAATCTAGGACCTGACACAGAGCCAGCTGATGCACATATACAGTGGAGACAGGATGTCTTAGTCAAAAGAGATCATAGTACATTTTGCAAGGTTGGCAGGTTCCTGCTGTTCCATCATGGGTTCTGGATTCGCCATGTGTGCCATGGCTGTCTCTCCTGTCTGCTCCTCGGGGTAATGAGGCTGATGGTTGTGGCTGAAGCCTGAATATTGGGCCTGGAGAGCTTGAAATTGCTGTGCAGAATGAACCCTGTGAAGAGGAAGAATTTTGAAAAGACAGAAGGGAAGTATACATCAAGTGAGATGGCAACTGGATTTGCTGCAGGGTTAAAGCTGAGTTAGATCAGTGTGTTATGTAACTTACTGTATGCGCTTTTTTCTGTAGTTGATTGAGTGTTACAGAGTAATGATGCATAATTCACTCTGATTAATGAATACACGTAACTGATGCACCCTCCTACAACTGTTAAGAGTCAGTTACTCCTCATGAATGGTAGGTTTAGTTTGCCAGTGTAGTTAGAGACACTCTTGTGGAGCTTTATGTTTGAGAGTGAACTACTACAACCTTCAAAATAACCATAAAGCTGATCAACACCTCTTAAAAACGGTTTCAACAAAAACTGAACATCATAACCTTAATGACTCCGGCACTGTTGAAGGTCTGTTGTATGTTTGCATTTGTTTTAGCGAGATGGACCTAATACACTGATGTGCTAGGGTTTTAACTGTATGAGATTTTCACGGTACTAAAACTGTCTCAGAAAATATTGCAGTTTCACGCTGTCACAGTATTTTACAGAATTTATCTTATTATCAGTCAGAGTGACCCTTAAAAAAATGAAAATAGAAGGGTTGTTCTTGGTTAATCAAACGTTTTAGTACTATTGTAGTAAAGATTTCTATTTTTCCTTATTTTGACTCTTCCTTTACCTCACTCCATTTCCTCAGCACTGACTGGTTCCTTTCACTCTTTGTTCACTTATTAACCTGATTGAGTTCCTATTTAAACCCTGAACACCATTTCACTCATCTTTTCTTGATCGGCACAGAGAGCGGCAGTCCTGGTAAGCAGTTTCTTTCTCTTTAGTTTATCCTGTGTATGATTAGTTTATCTGAGCATTATTTACTCTTACTAAGATGGACATTTGTTTAATTTGACTTAAGTTTTAATTGTGTATTTGTTTATTTTGGATTTGAACCCATGTGTGTTTGCTCCCACTTTATGTTTAATTGCAATTTGAGTTTGGAAATAAACCATTGCACGCAGAAGGAAAGTTTCAGTGGCTGATGCATTCTGACCAATGCCCATGATAGTAGACCTCTCCCACTGAACCTCTTCTTCTTAACTATAACTAAAAATTTGAATCATTTTGTTCATGGAAGTATGTGTAAGAAGTCCACCCATAGAAAATAAATAAAATAAAGCCCAGATTCAACAATCAGCTGCATTTCTTTTTTAAAAAAATAAAAAAAATAAAATAAACATAAATAGGCAAATGTAGATAGTATTATGACCGTCAACTTTTATATCACGGTATACCTTGAAACCAGTATATCGCTGCAACCCTATGGAGTGCATATCAGTCATGAAAATGTGGCATGTGTGCATGTCTATAGTTAAAAAAAAAGGAGAACATACAGATCATTCTGTAGAGTTGTGCAGCTTATATTCAAACCACATGGAAAACCCACACTGTTAGTTCCCATTCAACAACTGTTAGTGAATCAGAGACTGTAGAAAAGCTTTACATTCCACCAACAAGATGCTTTTTAGTTCTCCCTGTGTTAAACCAAGGTTAAATGCCATCCAGCTATAAGAAAACAATATATACAGCACTATAAAACATAATTCATGGTGCACAGCCCAAATGGCATATCATGAAAACAATGGTAAAACAAAATCAAAAGGGGCACACATGCTTTCATTTCATTTTCGCCACACTTTTGCCATTCAGAGGTTTGCAGATATGATCCTGTGTGGCCACATTGCTGGTGAGGAGGAAGACTCACCACTGTTGAAGATACTCCGGGGAGACAACAGGGAATCCATTCAGCTTGTCTTCCATCTTTTGGGTGGTTTGACTTTATTAAATAAATCAATATGCATATTGAGGAAACATGTCTAGGTGATGCACATGTGGTTTAGCATGTTAAGAGTCTGGCAGTGTATGAAACTGAATGCATGTGCCAACAGGGCACTGTAGACAAACTGAGGATTTAACAAAAAATAACATTAACAAAATGATAATTTAAATGGTGATACACAACACAACAAAGTTAAACCATTTATATGCATGACCAATTTTAAGAAAAAAGCAACAGTATTTATCGTAGACACCAAATTCTGCGACTGCACATCAATGACTGTACCTGCACCTTATTCTATGGCTATGCTAACTCACAAGCTAAACCCGGATGAAAACCATATGTCCATTTTAAACCAGTTTTAAAATACACTGCTCGTACATAGAGATTCAAGTTTGTAGCTGTCTTATTTCACTCGTAAATGTTCGTGTTCCGGGTGATAATATAAAAGTTATTGTCAAAAGCTATAACAGTAGCAGTGCCACAAGTGCAGCTAGCATTAGCCAACAGCTAGCTGCTCGGCTAGCTTAGCATGGATGAATGGTTTCGCTTCCACTGAGAATCCTCGCAGAGAAACCGTACACAAGTTATCAGTATTTAAAAACTTACACGTACCTGTTGTGGGTAAGGTTTTGATTAGTTTCTCCTGTACAAATAACTGTTATTTTTCCATCTACTGCTCTTCTATTCACAACATATGAGGAACAACAGAGGCAACAAAGACATGACAGCACTGCCGGTCAACTTTGACACCGGAAGATCTCAAGTCTAACACGTAGGGGTGTACAAAGAAAAATATCTTAGGGTTTTAATTAGAAAGTGGCTCCAAGGAGAAGTATTTGTAACCGTTGAATATTATAGTCTTATTAAACAAATCTGTTTGAATAAGGTGTTTGCACTGTAAACTTCGCGACAAACTCGAAAGCTAACAAAACGGTACGCCCCTATTTTCACATTGGTATGAGCCGCTCGACTTTTAAACTCTGTTAGACTTGTTTCCTATTGGCTGATGAAGTCTGTGCTGTTTAAAGGGTGATGTTTGCAACTTGGTGCAATTTTAAAGTAGCCTACTGCGACTGGTACAAGTATAACTACTACACCAATAATACAAAATATAATAGGTTAAAGAATAGTTTGTTTTTTGTTTTGAACACGGTACTAATTAAAATGAAAACAATAACAGAGCTCCACTTAAGGCTTTGATTTCAGACTTTTAACAGTTTTTGTCGCATCTTAAAGCCTAAAATTCCAATGGGGTGATTTTATTGACCTGTATTTCTTTTTAACACTCATGTGCGGTGTCCACTTAAGGATATCCTCGGGTTCCTCATCCTCAGCGTTTTTTTTCTGAGGCCATTTTGTCTGAGGTTATTCCATCTGAAGTCTGACAGAGGTTTTTCTGAGACCTGATCCTTTTTCATCTAAGGTCTGACACCTGAGGATGTCCTAAACTGGACACCATACTCATGCTACAAACGGAGGGTTGTGCAAAACACATCACTACAACCTGATAAGACATAGTTTGCGTTTTGACTTTTTTACAGCAGAAAACATGAGGCCATTCCTTACTGGTTTCCCATGTTAGAAAATTAGATTCACAGCTGTTATGAAGGCCTAAAGAATGTCCATAGAGTGCTGTTTTTAAGCCCAGCACAAAGGAGATTTGTGCAAAGCACACTCTCATAAAAACAATGACATACACTTTAATGTAGCCTTGGTTCAAAAATAATCTGTCCTTACTGTAGCCAGAAATGTGTAATATGAAATGATTTCTAAAACTATTTAAACCTGTGTGGTTGAAGTTTTCATGCCAGGTTTTCTTTCTAGCCTTATAAATGTTGGTGTTAGTCTGCAGCTATATGGTTAATCTATACTGTGCACCAGTGTATAAATATATTAAGTGAATCATCAAAGTAATCAAATCCTCCTGCTTTTGTCTTGGAGCTTTGGAAATATGACTTTCCCCTCAACAGAAAGCATTAATCAGCTTTCTGATGGCTTGTGTGTGTTTCCTTACATTATAAGTTACATATCACAACCTCACATGAATGCTTTAAACAATGAGACAATAAACACGCCAGCTTTAGAAGAGATTTAGTAACTCTGTAATTACAGGTTAGAAATTCAAGAGTACAATTACTTATTTATACAGCTGATAAATCATAAAATGCCATTCTTTTAAAAATACAAAAATAAGTCACTGGACGCACGTACCATACAAAATGAAATAAATAGTGAAAAAAATAACACCAAAAACATGCAGTCTGTTTGAGAGATAGAAAATGTAACCGTTGTGGGCACTTTCTCCCCTGTGCGTCACATTGTGAGGCATCGTGAAACTGCAGGACTTCACTCTTCTTGAGGTGCCATCATCAGAGGGGTTTCTCGCCCTCGCTGATGTATGGTGCTACTAGTACAGTACAGCTGATATCTGGTATCTGTTGAGAAAATCTCTCCAGCTGCAGTGGTTCTGTGTCATGTTGTCCGCTGACTGGCCTACGATGTCCATTTCTGCAAGATAAAACCAAGCCAAAAAAAAATACGACTGAAAAAGATAGATCGTGCTGTTTGCATGAAGTATTTATGTCATTAACCAATACATTGGTAATAGTTCAGCAATTTGTTTTGTTTCTGGGAAGCAACCGAAAGACACTTTAAAGCACCATGGCAACATTTTATGTGCTTTCTGCCATTTAATGCAAAGTACATAAACTTCAAAGGATAGCTCAGGTCTTTTGAAGTGGGGTTATATGAGATAGTTATCCAAAGTCAGTGTATTACATACAGTTGATGTCAGTCAGCACGCTTCAGTTTTGGAGAAGTAGGCTTGAGTACTGATACAGAACCTCAGCAATGCACTGCTGTAGACAGGGGCAGTAGCAAAACGTATTTAAGCCACCTAGAAAGTCTGTCCACCGTGTTGAATTGCCCCCTCCTGGTTGGGAGTGAGTTACTGCCCCAAGCAAGGGAGCTCAAGTATCTTGGGGGTCTTAAGGGTAGAATGAAGTGTGAGATGGATTAACGGTTTGGTGTGGCATCTGCAGAGATGCAAGAGCTGTGGTGAAAAGGGAGCTGAGCCAGTAGGCAAAGCTTTCGATTTACTGGTCCATCTACATCCCAACCCTCACCTATGGTCATGAGCTCTGGGTAGTGACCGAAAGAATGAGGTCGCAGATACAAGCAGCCGAAATGAGTTTCCTCCATGGGGTGGCTGGGCTCATCCTTAGAGACAGGGTAAGGAGCACGGACATCTGGAGGGAGCTCGGAGTAGAGCCGCTGCTCCTTCATGTCGTAAGGGGTCAGTTGAGGTGGTTAAGGCATCTGATCAGGATCCTCCTGGGTGCCTCCCATTAGAGGTGTTCCAGGGACATCCCACTGGTAGGAGGCCCCAGGGCAGACCCAGAACACACTGGAGGGATTACATATCTCATCTGGCCTGGGAACACCTTGGGGTCCCCCAGGAGGAGCTGGAAAGCGTTGCTGAGGAGAGGGATATCTAGAATACTTTGCTCAGCCTGCTGCTCCTGCGACCCAGCTTCGGATTAACGGGTGAAAATGGATGGATAAATGGAAAAATGTCCAACGTTAAAAAAAAAAAATCAGTATCGGTTTAAGTGTATTAAGAATATGTTAACTCCTTCACCTTCATCAGACAGGGATTTCTGAGGGGATAATGAAAGTATTATACAGCTCTCTTCAAAGCTAGGCTCCACTGGGGAAAACAGTGATTTAACATCGCTGAACACAGGAGCTGCTGGTCTACTGCTGCCTCCATCAGTTAGTCTGTTTGTGTCATTGTGTCACTGAAGTTTCAAAGGGTAAATTTGGATTCATCAAAGTCACTTAGTGTACACTTTTAGTGATTTAATTAAATTTTTGGTGGTTAAAATACATTTTACCGCTGCCCCCATCCACAGCAGTTAATTGCTTTGCTTCTATGTCAGAAATTCTGCCTGCTTCTCTAAACTAGGGCCGTTGCAACTGACGTCTACTGTTGGTAAAATACTGACGATGGAGAAGCCTATTACAACCCCACTTCAAAAAATCTGATCTATCCTTTTTAAAGGAGTCCTGTGGAGTATTCTTGTACACAAACAAAAGGCATCTTTACATTTAGTTTTCCCAAAATGTAGTATGTAGTGTCTTTGAGGCCTACATTTTATTTGTACTGACAAATCCATTTTTACTTCCAGGATGGCTTCAGGATATTGGTTCACTTCATATCAGTGTTGTATGAATATCAACAGACTTCTAATTTGCTTTCAACGGGTAATCAGTCACAGGCATAATTTACAGTTACAGTATATACACTGTAAACTAAGCTGAATTCCATCTAGCTCCACCTAAATATAATTAGAACTACACAGTAACTAACTACACTACCTTTGTGCTTCAGCAGACAGGCGTGTTTTTTTCTCCTCTCCTCGGGCTCCTTCAGTTGGAGGAGTTGCTGCTTTGCCTCGTGTCATTATGCAGCCCACTACAACTTTCATACTCTGGGTCCACCTGTTCTTCTTTGATTGCCATCCTCTTAGCATCCTCTGCAGAACAAATGCAACATCAAGGAGTTAGATCATCATCTTAGACATAAATGTCAGTAAACATTAACATGAATGTGACTACAAAATGACAATAAGTGGTCTAAATCCCAAAAAGCAGGTAAATATTTGTATTCAAGCGAGTGACAAAATGAACTGCAATCCTGATGTTTCAGCCGTACAGCAGTTTACCTTTAGCAAGCTGCAGATCAAATGAGTACTTCGTCTCTTGCACCTCGTGGCTCGGCGCCAGGCCTTTCAACTGGTCTCGCAGTTCCTTCAGCTTGAGGTAGAAATGTACCTTATCCTGTGCACGGGGGAACTGGGCACAGCGAGGGCTTGATGACGGCATCAGGTAGCACACCTGGGTAAAAGGAAATATACAATGACTTTTGTTGTTTGTGCAGTTGATTATAGTTTAAGAGTAATCCATTTAGTGTTTTAACACACCGTTTCAGTTTCAGGGATTTTGTAGGGCTGCAGACCGAAGTCGAGATTCTTTGCCTTCACACCAAAGGTCTCCTTGCAGAAGATTTCATAAATACCTGCCAAGACGAACAAACGCGAAAACACTGTTAAACTTATCCAAACGGATTTATGAATGAGCCATCTAAACACTTAAAGGGACAGTTTACCCCAAAATCAAAAACACACATTTTCCCTCTTACCTGTGGTGCTATGTCTCAGTCTAAATTGTTTTTGTGTGAGTAGCTGAGTGTTGGAGATATCAGCTGTAGAGATGTCTGCCTTCTCTCCAATATAATGGAACTAGATGGCACTCAGCTTGTGGTGCTCAAAGCGCCAAAAATATACATTTGAAAAACTCAGCAGCAATATCTTTTACAGAAATCGTGACCTGGTTACTCAAGATAATCCACAGACCTTATTGTGAGCAGTTTCACATGGGGACTATTTTCTTTCTACCTAACTACAGCTCCGAACCACATCACTGTGCAGAAGATAGCATGCATCTATTGCTAACTCATGTAGCACCACTGAGCTAGCTAATGTAACAGCTAAGCTGAGGACTATGCCATTATTGTTTACATCTGACACTGTTACAGGCACGAGCCTCTCGTCCATGCGTAGATGAACACTTCCTTCTGCGCAGTGATACGGTTGGCGGGTGAAGTTTGGTAAAAGGAAAATCGTTCCTACATTAAACTGCTCACAACAAGGTCTATGGATTATCTTGAGCAACCAAG